ATACATCATTTAAAGCCCAAAATTTCTGAACTACAGCCCATACAGTACTTTTCAACGGACCAATCAGCGCTCCTAAATACGGTAGAGAGTACGGTTTAGACTGGAGTGCAGAGTTACGTTTCTCAGTAACGACTCAATCAAACGAGCTGCCACTTGGGCAATATGTTAGCAGAGGCCATCAACCAACTTAGTAAACCCGGAATTGCCTGAGCATTGCCTTTATCGAGTCACGTCACACCTATCACTACCTTTTAGAGATACGATAATCAACAGTGACCGTAGAACCATCTCCGGCTTTAACGGTCGCACGTTCCAGCTCAAAAATTACATGATTTCCCAATAGATTTGTAATTTAGCGTACCTTAGGGATGGCAGCTGTTTTGATCACTTCCATCTCCTCCTCCGACATGACTTCTTTGAAAAGCACCGCCAAGGGATCAAGTCGCAAAATTTCGACTTTGATTGGAGCCAAACGCAAGAACGGCCTGTCCATCTGAAGCAGGTAGATAAAGTCACTTGTGATCCTGATCCCAAACACTGTTGATTTTACCTTTAGGTAGCAGTAGAGTAGTTTTTCTTCAGATGGATCAACTTTAGGAGCTTCACCGCGGCATAGAGCCTCGTAAGCGTCTCTCTCGACAATACCGTCGTTCTCAACACGCTGAAGGTTTGGAGGTCAAAATTCCCTCATTATTCATGTATTTAAACTCACCTTGTTGACGATAGGTGGAAGTTCTCCTTCCAAATCCTTACTTTCTAACCTCTCCTCGTACCATTTCACGTTTCCTAAGCTGCTGTTTTTCGTAAAATTTGTGAGAAAGAAAGAGAAAATGAATACCTTTTGCCCTCGGATGATTGGGAGCAAGAGCTGCTAGCCTCTTTGTTAAAGCCAATGCACGACGAATATTTCCTTGTTGATAAAGGGCGTACGCTAGATGCTCTAGAATTTCTTCTTCCTCGATCGTTTCTTCCTCTTCATTCTCCAGCTAAAATAAGACATCATATGACTGGAACTGAGTGAACTATTAGGTTAGAACGAAAATTCCCGGACATTCCATTTAAGCAAAGATTTTGTTGAGGTGTAAGCACCGATTGGGGCATGCTGCACATCGTTGGATAGAGGAAAGCAATCTCTACAAAACC